AGCAACACAATCCAACAGTGCTTATTGGAGTCTTCTATGTTTGATGTGCGCTGCGTTGCGACCTTGTGAATATACGCGCGCAGAAAATTTTGAAAAAATTGGAAACGGAATTTCAAGGGCATGCTGTACATAGTAAGATTCGACTTGACGAGATGAACACAATGCTGCTTTCGGATTTCGAAAATGTTCATTCTGAAGGAAGTTACGGCTAGTAGAACTTGGGACAGCTTGATTTTTCCAGAGTTTCTAGTTTCAGCTCTTCTATTTCTTTTGAAAGAGAGTCTTCGGCTGCTGTTTAGCGCACGATAATCTAGTGAAAGAGTACTATCGAAAGTTGCCCACGGCAGTCTCCTATGTGTGATGCTCGTTGCGTTACCACCATGCGAAGAGGCGTCCGCGTGCAAATTCTAGATTATTGAAAACAAGGTATTGGACACAACCTGCATAAAAGATTCGCCTTGACGAGCTGAATACAATGCTGTTTTCGGATTTTGAATATACTCATTCGGAAAGAAGTTATGGCCCTGCGTAATTTGCGTGATTCACATGAATTTCGCAAAATTCCTGGGATTTCGCGGAATTCCAGGAATATCGCGAAATTCCCAAAATTTCGCGAATCTTCGCGGAATTCCTGGAATTCTGCGACATTCACTGAAATTTTGCACATTCTGTGAGCGGTATTGTATGGGACCCATGAAGCGTGATAGTGGATAACAAATAGGAAGTCCGTGATGTCTGCCAGGCTCTAATGCTAAAGCGATGACCTGCGGTGAAAGTATTGAAAGTAGCTGTTGTGCATTCCGAATACGTCTTCAGACAAGAGCAGGGCAGTGGCGGCAGAGCGCGACACCTGAACCCTCAGTTCAGGTTTTGCGCATATTTCTTAATGATTCCTTCACTGTAGGTATTTGTTAATCTTCGCGTTAAAAGTATGTTCGTCTTCAAAATACCCTTATTGTTTTCATGCATTGTTTTGACTGCTATGCTCATTACTTCAAGTCTGAATACAAGTAATCACAGAAGGATACGGATGGGAAACCTTTGCTGTAAATCTTTTTTTGTAGGTAGCACGGGCAAAAGTGCTGTTTTAGTAATCAATGTTACAACAATTTGCCATCTGCAACTTTTCTAGAAGCTCAGATAAAATCACCTAAACAAAAACCGAGCACAACTGCGCGAAACAACACTGAACAATAACAAAACGGAAATCTGACTAGAAACGTTGGCATAGTACATAAACTAGCAAGCAACGGTGAAAAAAAACCAAAAAGAAAAATGCGTGGTTCCGAACTGAGGGCTCGGGTGGAGCGCTCTGCCGCGACCGGCCTGCTCCTCTTTGAATTCGAATTCGTCCAATGAGCCGACTAGTGGGGTGAAGACGACTATACACTACGCTGTAGAACTGTTTATAAGATAGAAGCGGAGCAGTGGATATTTGGAATACCCGCTAACAATGATAATATATCACCAACACCAGAATCGAGCATTCTTGCCCTTCCATGCCACTGTTTTAGGAGTGGATAACCAAACGCTTACTTCTGCCGAACGACAGTATCATACAGCGTGAAGGATTGCCTACATGAAACTAGGCGTCGTCAAGTAGGCTGTCACAGTAAAAAGGTACCGGCAGCTGAAGTGGTCGGTGAACAGTAGCTTTTTCAACAGCAAGCTAGTGAATATCTTAGTGGTCTTAGATAACGTAAATAATCTACTACAATGTTGATGTTGTTATGCCTGTACGCCCTTTAGCACTACTGACACGTCAAAACGAGTTGCAGAGTACCACCAGTGCACCATTGGTGAAGCGGCGCTGAGGCCTTTGAAGACGACGATAAGTCGAAACGTAAGGCCGCACTAATAAAAGGCTTCACCAAACCTCGTTCTGGCATAACAACATCAACACCATAATCATACGACATGCCGAGGTTTCAAGAAAAGAGGACAACCAAACTACTGACTAATCTACTACACTTATGGTGGCTTTCCTAACTTCAAATTGGTCTCGGTTACTAAGAGATCTTATGCAAAAAGACTGTTAAGGGCCTGAATGTGGGGTTAAAGATTTCGTCGATCCCAAATGACGACGCGGTGAGCTCGAGAGCTGTAGCGAGGTGTAGAATTGCTACGGGCCTTCATGACGACAACGCGGTCTGTTGCAAGGTGTGAGGCGCAAATTCGATGTTGTGTAAACCTGGATTACAAAAATGCAGTCTTTTTCAACCCGGAGTAGGCGAAAAAATCCAAGTGAAGCCGCACCGCGCTGGCTCAGCGAGATAATTAGAAAGAAGAGACGCAGACTGCAAAGCGGCGCGACGCTGCTTCGGTATAACTGCGGAAGGTTGGCAGCGTAATTCATGCCAGTATTTACATAATAGCACATGTTAAGGTCATTCTTCTTGGACTGCTATTTGAAGGTATGCAGTTAAAATAACCAACACAAAAGGAAAATCCAGATTAGCCTACCAGAAGATATATTCAAAATTTCGGCTTGTTCAGACCGAAATCATATGACGTGCATAATCACGTCGCCATTTATCGAATTTTGCTCAAGTTTAGGCGCAATGATTAGGCATTACAGCGTTAGATTATATCCGTGCGATGTGGAGAAAAACGCTCCCAGGAGGTGATCTTATGTGCGAGGCTGTTTTTTGAGACTGACTACTTCAGACTCTCAGGACAAAAAAGGAGCCTGATAGAAGTATCATTACAAACAATTCGAAGACACCTAAATACAATAATTTCGACTTCCTTATCATTTTGTGTCTCTAATAATCTGAGTAATGTTACAGTCTAGTTAATGTATGATCAACCATATATGCAATGTCTCACTTTGCTATTGAAAAGACGCACATGACATAAAAGTAGATTTTACTGGCATGAAACCTTGTACGAACTCACCCGGAAAGTGTCTTGAGCCAGTGATCTTGAACTAGGTTTACGTTTGATGATCGTGTAAAGGTTAAGCCAAGATACGGATCTTTCGCTTCACTTACAAAAATTTCGTTTAAATGTGAACAGAAGACTCAAAAACCACCGGTAAATTCAGAGGGTGTTTATTGCCGAAATTCCAAAATGAAACGGCAACAACGGACATCGTGTGAAATGACACATGTTACCATAAAAGGACTAATCCCGCTTTGTTGTTTTCAAACATGATCTCGAAGACCTTTTGCTACCCTTCTTCTGCCTTACGAAGTGTGGACAGGTTGAAGAAAAGAAGACTGCTTGAATTAGGCGCAGCTTCCGCAAATCGGTCCTTTAATAATGCTGCCTCAACCTGAAAACTTGCTAAGAAGATACCTGTTACTACTTCTTCACCAATTTTTTCGCTACCGATTTACGCGATTTTAGTTGCGGCGCGATTTGGCAATAATTCTATGGTTTATAAACCAGGGTCAAGCGTAGGGTGTGCTATGGCACACCTGGGGGGGGGTCGTACGAAGGGTCAGGAAGAGGAGGGGGTCGTCGAGGTGATTCTGATGTTAGCGATAATGTAATGTTCGTTAACAATGTCAGATAGGCCCATCATGCAAAATACCAGCATACTGATGTTTTGGTCCACCATCGTATCTAATATATAAAGAATCGTAAGCGCAATTCAAAAATGTGCACATAGCGGGAAACCACGTGGCGGTCCCGTAGCGCGCGCATGCTGCTAGCACCTTCAATTGCTGGTTCACTAGTACGTCAGTAAGCATGATAAAAGACCTATAAAAGCATAAGAGCATCGTTTTCTTAATTAGCATGTAATAACCTCTGTGGGCCAAGTTTCTGAGGTTTCAGATAGTGGACTACTAATCAAGTAAGATTGTCATTTTTAATCATGCTAACTTTGTTCTAAAGGTGAGTAGATTACTTCTTTCTGCACTTAATACAAAAAACTACCACTTAATTGCTTACTTTAGGAATCCTATTCCAAACAACCTCCTTCGATCTCAATATCTCAAACTAGAGAAGACTAGAGAAGAAGCTCAAATTACTTTAGTGCAAATCACGTGGGTTAGACTACCGAAAATATACATTCTTGTTGCTTGACCTAGCATATTACTGTAACCCAATACTTTCTCAGTATTTTCCATTTGCATATGTAAGGAAAGATTACATCTTTTTCTAGAAGAAACGATTTCAAAAAAATTTCCTGCTGTAAAAAGAAGAAGGTTAAGCAGTAGCGACGTTTGAAAAACGCAGGTACTTGAATGATTTTGAAGTAAGTTAACGGGGTGTGGCACAACCCCGAGAAGTTGTCGCCATAGCTTTTCTGGGATTGTGCCACACCCCATTAACTTACCTTACATTAACTTATTTTCAGAGATAATATTCGGGAACAAATTATTTACAGTTCGATAGCCAAAATCCCGTAGTTTTTGCGAGATTAGAGCTGAACTCGTCTTTTTTATCTGAGCCACAATTGCGGAAGCACAAGCGCTGCGAGCGGAAAATGGGGGGGGGGGGGTGGAGAAAATTTTGGCTGGCTCCTTATCCCATGATTCAATAGTTATTTAAAGCGGAATTCATGGCATAGGCGAGCATGGAGCTGTGCAGCATAGTGCTTTGTACTGAGTACAGAAGAGGTAGCTTATTCGCTTTTGAAATATAGTTAACCATGTTTGAAAAGAGCCACCTTATTTGGGTGGCTTAATATTGGGAACCCTCGGAATTTGCTAAAACTTGGCCTACAGGGGTTATTTGACATGGTGTACGAATATATAACTAGCTATGCTTGGTGAAATCCTTATGTCATGCCTACAGTAGGCAAATGGAAATGTTGGGGGGGGGGGGGTAGACGGAACTTAGGCAGGAGGGGGGGGGGGTCGGTTTGTGTGCCACGCCTCTTGCTCACCCTGCCCATTACTTGTGTACCCTGAGCCTGACTATGTTGCCTTCGTTACGCGAAGATCTTTCCTCAGGTGCAAGTCCGTTTTCAAGTTAAAAAAATTCTGCTTATTTCATCCCCTATCAATATTATAAAATATTTGGCTTAGCCACTTCTTGTAATAGCATATTCGAACAGATTTACTGACGCATGATTATGAAAATCAAGAGACCATAGAGCTTTACATTCCTGTATTTCAGTCACTGACATTTACATTGTAATCGATAAATACACTGTATCACATGGAAGTTCAAAGGCAACACCAGCTTCGCTTCTTACTTGCAGGTTCCATTTCGAGTTTCAGAGCATCTTGGAGATGTTGTTCCTCGCGCCTTTGCAAGCGCCTGAAAACTCGAATCATTGCAGAAAACAAATGATTTCTAAGCATTTTTTATGATTGCGAAAAAGTTCAAAGTAGCTGAGTTGTCTAAAATAACATTTTCAGTTTAACAATTCGTAAAGAAAAAACTGTGGATAATCAATTGGGAAAACCAATGACAAGCAGATGTCATACAGCACTGTAGGTTTAACGAAACACCTTTTCTCCCAATACAGAAAGTTTTTGATTCGTAAAAAGCATTTATTTGAGAAAAAACTGTTGAAAGAAGAACTCCAAAAATGTCATTTTCTAAGCAAATGTAAGTGGTAAGTGCGAAATTCCCAAAACGGTGTATGGGTGGATCGTATACTCGTATGATATATGAGTATCACGTCACTATGAAACAAAACTTACTCGGCTATCGTCTTCATGCAATGTTCGATTCCATATCCTGTATAGGCACTGGTTTCGTAAAAAGGCATTCCAAATTCCTGAAATTAAAGTTTTCAACATAAACTACGAGCTACAAAATCCTAGTTACCTCTGCTAATTTCTTTGCCGCCCTGTAAACACTATTTCGCGCCGAATCGCTACCAAACAAGTCCACCTGCAGATAATTGAATATTCTGACTGTAAACAACAACTGCCACTCCTTTTAACCTTATTTCCAACTAAAGCCATCACTGTGCTGTCTTCAACACCCGCACGTACGGAGTCGATCCAATTCCGGACATTGAGGAAGCTTTGTTCAGAGGTCACGTCGAACAATAATAGTACACCATCAGCTTTTCGAAAGTACTGCTTGGTTATTGATCGAAATCTAAAGAAATACATAAAAGTTGGATAATACTTCAGTTCCTTGTCACTTGAAAGTGGGCGTATATTTAACGTCAACATTCTCGATAAATAAATGAACGAATATATTAAGCAGGTCACAAGACCCAAATGCATTCAAATTCATCTAATTTCAAGGCTTCAAATAAAGTGACGACACCGAGACGTCAGTGTGATACTGAAAGGCTACAATTTTGATCTTCCTGACATGCTTTAAATCTCTGTAACGTTTCGCGAGGATAATGTGAGTGAAGGAAGAAATAGCACCATCAAAGTTTGTACACGCCTCTTCCTATGGGTTGCGCCAGACTGCGCGGCGTACGCGACGTACGCAGCGTACGCCGCGTATGCTCCTATGATGAAATATACCGAGCGTACGCCGATTCCCCGCGAAGTCTGGCTCAACCCTATACGTTACTGCCGACGTAATCAAAAGTCTTACAACTTTAGAAGTTCAAAAGTGGATACGAAAACCAAATTTTTTTACGAAGCTATGAACTCACAACGACCTACAGGGTATTTGACTAGCGCGACTATAAACTTTATATTTTATTCCAGAAACACTTTTGCTACTAATTTTTTTGTAAACGAAGAAAACCCAGCAAGTTACATAATTTATAAAAACTGCTGGAAATGTCCACCTTTGGCTTTTACGCATGTCTTCATTCGAGGTAGCGCGAAGTGACGCCGCGCCGAAGATGCTCTTTGTATAAATCGTCCCATAGCCTTGTGAGTTCTCTGCATAGGCCATTCCCAGAATTGATCTTCTTGCCCCTTACTTTTTCCTCTAAGTAACCTCAAACAGCAAAGTCAAGTGAACTGAGATCGGGAATGTTGAGGGACAATTGTTTGTCGGATATCCTAGGACTAGCATCTAGGAGGGCAATCGTGGTCTTCGCTGCGTGCGCAAGAGCCCAGTCCCGCTGGAACATCTCTGTTTTTTCGCCTCCAATGAACCGCATTTTGCCAGCAAATTTTCCTCCGAACCATCACTCTCCTTGAAAAGCGTTCGTGTAACATTTTTCCTATTTCTAATGTTTTTCAAACTTGAGTTAAGCAGTTGCCGTGCATTTGGACTGTTTTGGGCTGTTTCGATAGTGAAAATTTTTTCGTCCGAAAACATCACGTCTTCTACGAGGCACGCTTTGAAGGTGTGTAACATTGCCTTGAAAATTCTTACAATTTGCCTCTTCAGCTTGGCGTCATTTGATAGATACTGCTCTTGGAATAAACGATAACTGTGTAAACCCAAGAGTGTCTAACAATATTTTGAACACTCACTAGAGATAGACAGACTTTCTGCGTCGTTTCGAGTAATTCGTTTTTTGATGATGGCTCGCATTCTACGAGTGTTGACAAAGCAAGGACGACCTGTTGGTTTCTTCACATCGTCATGTCCCTACTGGTTCCCACCGCTTGATGATGTTCCGCACCGTTCGAATGAAACTTTCAAGCGTGTCGAAGATTACCGAAGCTCTCTGTCCATTGGCTGCCAGGCGAGCGATTGATACAAGGTGCTCAGCTCAGCAGAGATTGCGCTTTCACATGCTGGATGTCGTTTTTTTAGAGAAAAGCAAAAGGAAACTCGTAGAGTTCCCATGAGTGATTTGCGGGAATGTGATCAAATAATAGTGAGCGAAAGCTAACCTTTAGTAAGCCCTTAATTCAACTCTGACGTCATTTCACAAGTCACAGGCAGACTAACACGTTACAAACAGGATAAGCGCTCAGAGCTGTGTGCGCACGATTTCAACGTGTTAAAACATTATTTTTATGCACAAAAAAAATAAATAATCAGTTTGTTTACAACCGGTAAGCAAAACTGAGCCACCAAATTTGGTGAGTAGCTTCGCGACCACGCGCAAAAGGAAAGTATGAAGAAATATGAAAAAATTGTGTGAATGAAAAGAGTTGTAAATGTTTTCCTAATTTAGGTTGCTCCCGCGCAACCTGGGAGCACCCTGAGGTTGCGCGTAGCCAGACAAAGTCAGAATTTTCTCCCTTCTTCACCTAATTTTTTGAAAATTTTTACATAAATCTATTCTCCAGTTTGAACTATACCTGAGTATACTTATCTTAACCCAAATTTCATCTCCTCTGCTTTGCTACGGCCCCTGAATGATATAAAAACCGCTTTTTTTTTCACGTTTTGATGTTTTATCTCCAATTTTTCTTGTCTATTTTTGATTTCCATTCACTCATCGTTCGCTGCAGGTTATTAGCCGTATTTCTGCAAACACCACAAAAGGTATCTCGTAATCATCTGCAATGTCAAGGGGGACTTCGTTTTCAAAAATCTCCGCCACCTCCTGCTGGGCCCTGAAGGTGATCAAGGGCTTCAGGGCATACAAAAGCAAAGGAGTCTTGCATCAAAAAGGGCTGAGAGTTGTCACTAACAATAAGAACACGCAAAATAGGCTTAATTTACCACTCAACAGTGGAAAATTTACCGCGCAAAACGCGCCAATTTTTCAGCCACCGCACATTGCGAAATCTGTCGTATTGCCTACTTTATTGAACGGTTTTTGTGCTATCAATTTGGCCCTGTGATGTAGATTTTCCAAAGAGAATTTTGATAGCACAGATCTTACAGAACTTATGAAACGGGATGCCATTTTTTCTTATAATGTGCCACTCGAACTTAGAAGGTTATCAAAAATTTATGTAAAAAGTTTTGAGCAGGGTTATGGATTCACATTGTCTCCATCGATTTATTAGTTCCCAATGTTATGATAGGTACGTTAGTGTACACCCACCCATAGATGTCTGCAAAACTACAATTTGTTCAAGAAGTTTGGACAGATAGCCGATGAAAAAGCTGAAGAAAAACATCCGTGAAATCAAAAAAACAAAACTATTGAGTATGGAAGCAAAATCAACTAAACAAAATGGACAAAAAAATGCTAAAAATACTGAAACTACGTAAGTTAAAAAATTGGTTTTAGAAGGGAGGTCCGTTTGGTCGAAGTGGCCTTTTCACATAAAATTGTTACGACTATAAAGAGCATCAACGCTGATTCTAAATCTGTCCTCGTTATGAGCCGAGCGCCTCTGGACGTCGAGTTATAAGCGTTTTTGAATTGACACAACGAATGCATAATTAGAACAAAATTGGTCACAATTGCTCAAATGGTCCATTGCAAATTACCAAAGTACTCCATTTGAAGAATAGCTTCTGTCCCAAGCACTCATACTTAACACTGCTCTAACTGAACGCTGAAAAGACCGTAAAATTTGATTTTACACAGATTTTTCGTTTCATTTTTTGCATTAAGAAAATATTCATAACTCGGCATATAGAGGCGCTTGGTAGATAATGAAATCAGATTTGGAATCATCATTTTATGCTCTTTAAAATGGTATAAGACTTATTTGGAAAGGCCACTTCGACTAATCGGACCTCCCTTGTTAGCAAAAGATGAATAACCAAGTGGTAAAAGTAAGCATTCAATGCTTACCTTTCCTGTCCGGCAGTGTCCCATAATTGCAGGGCTACCACACGATTGCCTACGTTTATCGTTTTTACTGTGAAATCAACACCGATAGTGGCGTTAAACAATGGCTTGAAGCGGTTGTAACAAAATCTGAAATCAATATCTTAGCTGTTCTGAATTTTCAAGAAAACAAAGCCGCTGACCGGTGCAGGAAGCATGTTTTCCCTACTGCTGAATCTCCAACGAACACTACTTTGAATATTCGGTCTGGAGTAGGTATCTCCTAAATCTGGTAAGATGAAGAAAAAAGTTACGAGCTAGAATGCGACCAACCTCAGGTTTCTTCTGTTCTTCTACTTTCTGTGCTTCATTCAATTCCTGTAATGTCAGTTACCTATCAATATAATGCAAAAAAAATGAGTTTTCAATAATATTAAATCTGTCCGAAAGTTTTGTTGCACCATTTTTTTGAATACTACAAGTTCGTGATCTTTTGATAAATTTGGTGGACACTCTTTATGCTGAACACAAATATTATTTTCAATTTTTTCCCAAACTAAGAACGGCATTTTATTTTTTAGGAACTTTGTACTAATGCGTGTTCCGAATTCTGATATGACTCCGATTCATGGCGACGTAAAAAGAAAATCGAGGTTTAGTTTTTGTTTTTCTTCTATCTCTGTAACTTCTAACCGCTTGAATGCTATGACGAAGGCGATGATATTCTCTACTTGAGAAATAAAGTCAAATTAAGTGCAAGAAATCAATTTAAAAAAATGGTGCAAAAGAACTTTCACGGCAAAACGATACTTCTTTAGAAAAGGCATGATTAGCTGTAATACGGAAGTGTTAGAAACCAAAAAAAAGAAACAAAAAATTGAACAAATTATAAGAAAAACTTACATCTGCCAGTGACTGCGGTGAGGTCACTACAGGTACAGGAGATATACCGTATATGTCCGGCTCCATCGGACGAAACTGAGGTCGCTAAAATCATAAACAGTAGTAGAATTTGTCAAGTTCAAGAAAGATGCTGCTATGGCAGTCGATTCCATAGGTGTTTGAGAGAAAGCTTCTCAAAGGGCGATAAACGCAAAAAATCTCATATAGCCTTCCTCTCAAAACGAAGAAAGAATTGAAAAGAAAGTTCCATTTCTAGTTAAACTCAGGCTAAATTTAAACACGCTCAGCCTGCCTCAAATATTGTTCAAACTGGAGTTACCTTGATTCGCACTGGGTGCTCGTAGATAGTTGATAAATCTTGCTTAGTTTGTTTATCTTGTCTCTCCTGCTCGGCTAACTGTTGCCTACAAATGGATTTTTAAACTTGCCACCATCACGATTCTTCGCATCCATTTAGCTGCTCAAAGTAGATGTATTAGGTCGTCTAGAAAGTAATTTAGCTTTTTAAAAACGAGCTCACATTTCGCGATACAAGTTTACAAGGGATATTGTAGTACTCGGCAAAGTTTTTCATGCCCTCTAAGTAGCTATATTTTTATTGCAGGTTCAACCAAAGATCGCTTAGATTAAAACTATAATCAATGATTTTCCATGCTAAGCTTCGCTATTTCTTGGAATTTTTATATCGACCTTTTGAGAAAGTCCAAGTGACTTGTAAAAAAAAATAAAACCCTACAGCATGTGTATATAGCCTCTTTTTCCTCCTTTTATAGCTTGCATTTTTAATATCTTTTAACTGTTTATTTTTTGATGCTGTCGAATCGTATATTTGGTCAACTCAAACCTAGAATGTCAACCAGCAAGTAACTCAGCTATTTTCGATGCAGCTTTTTTTCCTTTTTTCAAAAGGCGTTTTTTGTTTCTGACTCATGACTTGTTATCAAACTTTCATAAATCAAGGAAGGCGTATACTCATAAAAATCTGGATGAGCAGCCCTTATTGCTTACCCAGATTTTTCCATGAATTCCACGGAATACTTATTACGTTTTTGCAAAAAATACAGTGAATATGCACCCCCAAGACTCTTTAGTACTCGTGTATGGTCTGATAATAGCTCGTGTGAAGAAACTTACAGGAGAAGAAAAAAGCAGAGGCAGATCTTATCAATAAGCGGATTAGCTTTGCGACATTAAACGCACACATGGATTAGGAAGAAACACTTCATCCATTGTCAAACTACGTCATTTTTCGAAATGTTGCTTCAGAATTGTACGGATTTGGCTATGAGTTAACCAGAGCTATTGCGTCAAGAAAGTCGGATCGAATACTTCAAGTTTTCGAAAAAATTTGTAAAATGGCATTTTTTCTGTCTAGAAGACCCGGAAAGATTCATATTGCGATTGATATAATAAGATAAAAATTCGTTTTTTTCCAAATTCTTTATCACTTGAACTGAACAGAGAAGATCGAGTCTAAATTTTCGTAAAAATATCTTGTCGAAAATAGGGAATCAACATTACAAATCCAGGAAAGTTCAAGAATGTGCTGAGCTGACACTAATCTGACTCTTCTCTAGATTTTGGATTTTTGAGACTTTAGGAGAAGTAAAGAGTTTAGGAATAGTAGAGTTGACGATAATGTTTAGTTCCATTGCGGATTTCACCCTCAAAGCAAACCAACGATGAGATTTGAAGATTGATTGTAGCTAAAAATGTTGAGCGCCTTTAACTCTTCGTGAGAATTTTCGTCCATAAGTTGTTCATAAAGAATTACTCAGACTACGTGCGGATTCAAATACAGCTTGGAAAAAAGACAGAGAGTAGAAATCAGGATTCTGCCGCCTAAAATATGCGGAAGCTGGTTGGAATGCTTCCATGCCGAAAGTTTTTTATGCAAAGCCAATGCCCATCACTCATTTAAAACGATGAAGTTTAGAGCAATTAGATGGAATGGCTGATGTTAGCATTGCGTGTCTGCAGATATCTCTTGATTTGGACATAAAAAGCAGATCCAAGGAAATCGTGGAAGACAATGGATAACAAGCAGCTTCAAAGAGGAGATGCGGGGTGGGAACAACAAATTAGGCTTTTAGATGCGAAATTTGAGGGAGTTTAACGGAATTTGAATACGAGGATGACAGGAAGCACGCAGTTTTAGCGGAAAATTTGCAATTTTCCTTATGCTGAGAAATTGAAATGCATATGTGAATAAAATGGTTGAAAATTATGACGGATGGATGCATGTGAAAAGACATTTGACTTCCCTTTATTATCAAAAACTCGGCAAAGAGCGCAGCAGCAACAAACTGCTTTTAGACACGTCATATCAAAAATTTTTTTTGAAAAGTTGCAAGAAAAATGCATCAGGGGTAAAGCGTGTCTTTGCATGACTAAACAGGAGTGGCTCACTTTACATCATGCTAGGATTCAAACGATTTCGAAGTTTTCTGAGAAAGTTTTGATTTTTGCATGGTGCATAAGGTATTTCCTGGCAGGCTTTCCTTGATAAGCACTGGAAAATTCTCTCAATTACCGATGCTATCGCGAAAAGACCTTTATTTATTTAAGCTGAAAAACCTTTCACCCTCTGATTGATGAGTTGCTGCAAGCATGGAAAAGAGCAAAGACATTTCTTAGAAATAATCATCGAGTGCACTATGTGAATACCATATTAATGAGATTAACGTCAGCGATAATACGGAGGAAATCTTTCAGCTTATGTCAACCCTCTCGCCCTCCCTAATTTGCTGAATAAATTCTATTTTTTGATGGGAGAATTTGATGTTGAAGTGGCATGAGCTGAAAACGGAAGCGCTTGGGTTCCGGTGAGTTGCATGAGATGATGACTGGACAGAAAAAGCAAGAACTTTAATTTGGTGAAGTCGAACATAAAGCTTCGATGAGCATGACTAAACAGGAGTGCATCAAAGATTAAATGGTGCTATGGACTTAGATTATCGCACGGTTTTGCAGATCACGAAAAATCTCAAAAAGAGCACTTGTTTTAATGAAAGAGTACTTAATGATAGTAGCCATTCATAATAAGTAGTATAGCCTAGTAGATTTCCGCTTAATATAGTGTAATTGCGGTGCCGAGATCTGCTGTGAAATTTGCGCGTGAATAAGATACATGTGTCCTAAATGCTAGCATTTTGCGCGCGCAACTGACCGGCAATACAGATGCACGTTTAATCGCAAAATATCGGCACCGCAAGCACACTATATCAAATGTATTAGGTTGATGCATAATTCCTGCACCAAAATACGTACAGACCGCAATAATCCGGTATAATCCCATATCCCAAATAGAATTCGATATATCATCAGATAGCGCAAACCTAGCTCTATAAGATAGTACTCAAATATCTACACCAGCTTTGAGCCGAGAACTGAAAAAAAACCATCCTTCCGAAAACCTTAAGACCAATCAAAACAAAATTGTAACTTCGTCCAAAAAGCTCCTACAAAATTTCTTTCTTGCTCACGCGTAGACATTCCACGTAAGACATTTATCTATGTGGTGCTGTATTTCTTTCTCAGCTAGACGATGAGGAAACGAAATTTTTCATGTTTTTGCCAAATTAGTGCTGAGATGTTCTAGTACTAACATTTGTATAGTACATGCCGTTAGCAGTAAAACTTTAGATTTTCAGCCTTCTAGAACTGCTAGTTCGCGAGAAATGACGTATCTAGCTCTCCTTATCCAAATTTTTCCTGCCTAGTTACTGAAAATTCGATATTTATCGTAAACCAGTTGCTGTAAAGAGCCGAAAATTAACATTCACGCTTCTAAGGTCCTATAGTATACAACTGTCAGTGCTGGAACATCTCAGCATTGTTTTGGAAAAAACATGAAAAACTTCGTTTTTTTTCAATTTCTAGCTGAGAGAAAAATACAGCAACTGCATAGAAAAATGTCCTATACGAAATGAGAATGCATGAGCATGTTAGGATTTTTAGAGGATTTTTCTGAACGGACTTTCAATTTTTTCTTGGTTTTTTTAAGGCGCTTGGATCTTTTTAGTTTTTGGTTTCAATCTTCGCTTTAATCAAAGCTGGTGCAGATATTTGGGCACTATCTTGTAGAGCTAGGTTTGCGCTATCTAATGATCTATCGAATCCTACTTGGGATATAGGATTATACCGGATTATTGCGGTCTGTACCTATTTTGGGGCAGGAATTATGCATCAACCTAGTATTAAGTCAGGTATAGTCAAATATGTATGTCGCAATCAGTATCAGTTATATTGATTATTGCACATTGCTATATTGAGTCACTGAAATCTACTACAATGTAAATCAACAGAAGCATAAATTTTAATTTGATATTGAATTTGATATGCATTCCATATCTGCGAATAGTTCTTTGTGTGGAATTACGATCAATTCTTTCCTGATTAAGTACTTTGCTGAACGCAGAATCTTTTAGAAATGGGGAAACGAAATGATAACAAGAAAATCAATTTGGTGAAACGAGAATACATTAGTCAAATCTGAAAATGGTGAAAGTCTCAAATGAAACTGTACCATTTGATTCAACTGGCTTGGCATCGACAAAGGCGGGGCTTCGTGACCTAATTAAGGCTAGGTAGTGATCAGAGAGCACTCGCGCGAGAGAGACGCAGGTGCGTCGCGGGCGCGAGCGGCCTCAATTAGATCACAAAGCCCCGCCCTAATGGTGCCAAGCCAGTTGAATCAAATGTTACGCATAAGACACAATATTCTCAAATCCAGTCAAAACTATTCCACTCTTTTCCGATGAATATTTATAATAATTAGTAGAAATTCTTTGTGCATCATCAAATGTTCTGTTCTACCTTATTCCGGGTTTTTAATAATGCGAGACTCTTTTTTTTATTACCGCTCGCATACTGCACATCAATAAATAGATGGATAGCTAAATAAGAATGATAAGTTCACTCTTGCACATACCTTAAAGCTTCTGTATAAGGATCATGATATGCAGGTACTGGTTCGAGCGATTCCATCTCTTTCTCGAGACTTATACCAGCGGGATTCAATACTGAGGTCATCGTGAAGTCTGGAAGTGAGACATCCGTATCTGTCTGCAAAGAAAACCTTATGAGGTAAAAGTGACAAGTATAAAGTGCGGTTCATAATTATACGAACACCCAAAATTTTGTAAGTTTTTGGACTTTTTGGAAGAAACTCAAAAAGCCGTTGATACCACGCGATAGACCACAGCCGAAAACGGTATATGATCCATAAGAATGGATATTGATGTCAATCTTAGGAGTGTTTTTGCGCTTAATGCGAATTTTTAGCGGTTCATAATTATACGAACACCTCAAACAAAGGTCCATTTTCCATTCAAGATTGCAATCATCTGAGTCCAAATTTTTTGTAGAGTTTCAGTAACAAAGTCTGACATATCTGCTACACAGTGAAACCAGTGCAGTTCAAAAAGAGGGTCGTTACTTTTTTCAGAAGGCTCTAAATGCTTCTGGAGTGATTGCGCTCCAAAAACATCCGTTTATCTGTGGTTTACGCGCTCTAATTAGCTCCTACCAAAGCTATGAGATAACATAAGCTTTTTCGATGGCTATCTTGTTTGACGCTTGGAAAATCTTTGCGTTTTCGTGCCGTTTTTCAACCAAGTTCCAACCTTACCCTAGAGTTAGCACGATTTCGAGCCTCAAAACTCAGCTTCTGAAGCCGACATTGAAGTAAGCATATAGTATGTAGAAGTTCACAAGACTATATATTTGGCTAGAAAAAATCAGCAGCGTTGAGCGTTTGTTTTGGCCACGCAGACGTCATTTCACCAAAAACACTGTTTTTACTATTGCAGTCACACCTTTATTTGGTTTGTAGCTCCACAGCCTCAAGATCAGTTCTACAAAAAAACCAAAAACTTTGGCACAGAAATATCATCATGCAAACAATGCAGCTGCTTCATATTGAATGTTTGCACAAGAGAGAAGCTGAGTATTGAGGCTCGAAATCGTGCTAACTCTGTGTTAAGCTTGGAACTTGGTTGGAAAACGGCACGAAAACGCAAAGATTTTCCAAGCGTCAAACAAAATACCTATCGAAAGAGCTTATTTTATCTCATAGCTTTGGTAAAAGCTATTTAGAGCGCGTAAACCACAGGAGAACGGATGTTTTTGGAGCACAATCACTTTAAAAGCATTTAGAGAATTCTGAAAAAAGTAACGGCCCTCTTTTTGAACTGCACTGGGTTCAGTGTGTAGCAGATATGTTAAACTTTGTTACTGTAACTCTACAAAAAATTTGGACTCAGATGATTGCAATCTTGAATGGAAAATGGACCTTTGTTTGAGGTGTTCGTATAATTATGAACCGCTAAAAATTCGCATTAATCGCAAAAACACTCCTAAGATTGACATCAGTTTCCCTTCTTATGGATCATATACCATTTTCGGCTGTGTTCTATCGCGTGGTACCAACGGCTTTTTGAGTTTCTCTCAAAAAGTCCGAAAACTTACAAAATTTTAGGTGTTCGTATAATTATGAACCGCACTTTATAAGGAGGTGAGAAATAGCTGAAATTTAAAAGTGAAGCAGCAAGAGAAGTGCGCTTGAGGTTGCATCTGAAACTACATACATGGTGATAATTAAAGCTTTTGGATGAATTGAGCACCTTAATTAGAGCCGAGGGCTGCATTAAGTCACTGGTAAGGGAATCTTGAGTATTAGTGCAAAAATAATTTACAGAAACATGCCTGCAAAATCTATAGCAACGACAGATCCCAATTTTTGATATTTTTGGTCTTTGAGCACTAAAGATAGATATAATGTCGGCTCAATCAACAAATGCCAACATCATCCGAGCTCGATTTGCTCCCTTAGACTAAATATAGAGATAACGATCGTGAAGCATGGATTTGATCACTTTCAAGCTGTAGCTAAAGTTTTTTTTATCACTTTTCTCGAATAAAACCGACACATGAGTACCTGTCTGCCTTTCAAAGTTTTTTTGCTTTCAAACAGCGAAAAAGGAAAAATTGTTGCAGAGCTCCACGACAGTCTGCACTTCTAACAAACACTGAGAGCTGCTAAAAGAAGAGTTTTTTTCACAGCATAAAGAATCTACATATCGAAAACACTACTATAACCCAAAGAAACGTCAAGAGGTCAGCAAAGCCTTCGATTGTAACCAAGTGCATGGCAATTCTGCTTGAGCGAATATTTACAATTAGAGCGAGAATTGACTTTTCCGTCCGCCCCATTCTTCAACAATTTTCAAAGAGGAATAAAACTAATGATAATATCGCATTTTATTACTGTATTGCTCAGTTTATAAGTTCTGACATGCTGTACCATAACAACCACTTAATTAGCTTTTCAGAAGCTTTCTCGAACTGTAAAATGACAAGCAGTAAATCAAGCTTGAAAACGCTTTCACACAATTTCCCAGATTTTCTTCTGGAAATTCTCCGAAATAGCTTCTGAATGACAATTGAGCGATGTGCTAAGAAATCCTATCTTAATTTACAGTAATGAAGAGCGAGCGGTGAATCGCTCGATGCTTTATATCCAACCATAAGTTGGCGCCAGCTCGACATTACTTTGGCTTTTGCTTTATCGAGGGGCCACAAAAACTCTTCATTGTAGAGATACGAAGATCCAACCTTTGATACAATTTTTGGGAAACCCGAGGTGCGGAGAAAGCCAAGATCCGGAAATAAGTAAAAAATAGATTGGTTCTGTTCTGCACTACGATTTAGGAGAAAAACATCCTGATAACTTGATCTGGAAATTGCAAATCAGCACAGGCATAGCTTTCAATATAAAACTAGGAAAACGTTCCAAATGAAGTAAAACAGAGTGGGATGCTAATGCGTGCTGGCGTTTGAGAAGCGTATAATTGAGCACTCAACGAAATAAAAGCATGCCGTCATCATCGTGGCTATCTCGTTAATTACGTAAGCGTAAGCCGTAGTTTTGAATATGTGAAAATGCATGCATAGGCTGTTTCAAGTGGTACTGTTTGTACAATTAGTTGCATGTGCGCGTCCCGCCCTTAAAAAGATGCATTCGAACGAATGACAATCTAAATAGACATCATTTTCATTTTCGCCAACGATTGCTGCCCTTTTGTGCCCTCCTTCAGCTGCTAGTCGAGCTTCCCGTTCTTCTGTCTGTTCTCTCTCGTCCTAGATAATAAGACAAGAAATAGGTTAACGCTTCAACATAACTCGAGCTTTGTCATTGCTTCTATTTTGGATGTTATGGGAAATCTAGCAAGTCACATTGTCTTTCAATAAGTGTTTTTATGGTTTTCCGTTGTAGCCTATTGAAAATCAAACATCTTCTCTGCTCTCATCACCAGATTCTCTTGTTTTGGTAAAGCAAAAACCATGTGTGGGAATGCTAGCACTGCTTTAACGGCGTCCTCTTCCACTATCCTTGGATAGGGAGCGGGAAGCCGTGAGCAATTTGTTTTTTCGAGTTAGCTGTAATCGTTTCGGTGGGGCACCGTTGAGCTGGACCCAAATCCTTTACTCACAATATATTTCATACTTTCTTTACATGAGTTGTAACTGCACGTAGAAACTTTTCATACAAGCAAAAAACAGTTCCATAATCTTTCCTCTAGGTTTTTTTATAGCTCTCAACAGAGTTTGGAGGCGCAATCTGCTCCAACTGCCAAAAGCGCCCCTAAGCGAACCATATTTAATGTCGATTCTTTTTATGTTATTTCTTTTTATGCATTTCTGTCATCATTTCCAGGAGAGGGAAAGGGACAGATGGACGTGGGAAGAGAAAGGAAGGGGAGGGAGTGGAAAGTGAGGAAGGGATGTGGAGGGGAGAGGTGAGTGCTGACCGAGAGGTTCCAGGCTTCGACCATTTAGTACAACGGGTGTGACACATGATGCAATGGATGGTAACAGCAAAAGTTTCCAAAATTTCTGTGGAATAAATGGTAAAATTGATTTTCGCCTTTAGACTATCTATGCTGGGAGTGGGCGAAGGCACAGATAAAAAAGGCGAGTGAGAAATAGTGGGAAAGGGTGGGAGGAGTAGAAAAGCTAAAGATAACTTCGTTGAAAAAATTTAATATTGAGGGGGCGTTTCGAATTTTTTTCAATTCCAGGTAGTGTGGAGTTCTGTTGAAAACCATGGGACCAATCTCAATCAAAAATTTGAAGCCTAGGCTCTCGCTCACGTAGAAGAAACAGAAAACTGTATATCTCTTTCATTTACGAAATATTTCAGGGTGCAAACCAAGGGGTTAGTACTTTACGCTCTTACATGAATGCAACAAACTTCATTTGGAAAGACAAACAAAATTCCTAACTTTGTACGATGGCCAGGAACCTCTCATGCTCAATCTTTATTTTAAGAAACAAGAAGTATGTGGACAAGACGACAACACAGTGTGTTATAATTATTTAGAAAAGTAAAGTCTGCTGCTTGAAAGCAGCATCGTTCAATCATTGCGATGGAAGCTGCAATATGGAAGCTTCGATGTGTGGTCTGCTAAATTCTGGAGTTTGGTTTTGAATTACACGATTGCGTCTATCCAACGATGCAGCAATTTTAGAGAGTACCAAAAGAAAGCCGGGAGTCGGATTAATGAATCCAGCAAGCCAAACACAAATAGGGGAGGCCAAAAACCAAATAGGTCCAGAGAACGAATTTGCATGACTGCGTTCAACAAAGTCTACTATAATTGAAGGCAGTGTATTTTTCGTAAAAATCGGTGGCAAGAATAGCTTGACGGATGATTTCGCATAGACAATACCGTAATTGTGAAGTTTGTAAGTTTGTAAGAATTACGTACTACAAAAAAGAAGCAAACATACGCAAGCTTATACGTTCACGATATGCTTTTTACGTAGATTCATATTGCCGAAAGCTAGAAAGAAAATACTAGAAATCGCAGAGGCTAAATTTTCGAATAAATTGTGCCGCAGGGTAAAAGCATGGAGTTGATAAATTGAGATGAGATAAACGTTTGTGCGAGCAGATGGAAAGGTCAGTTTGCTCACAGCGGAGAGAATTTTTCAAAAAATGAAGAAAAAACTTTGAGTTTTTCTGAAAGAATTATTCATTTGGTTTTTGTTGACGCACGTTGGTGGTTTTGATTGGCAAAAAAAAACAGTAAGGCAATTCGAAGGAAGTCGCGAAAAAATTTATCCATTAATTCATCAGAACTTCCGAATAGGTGGAACTCAAATTACAACGAGTAATCAATTAAAAAAAGAAAGAGATAAAATGACACTATCAAATTTGTATTTGAAAACGAAGTATTTTCGTAAGGATGGCATAAAAAAACAGCTCAAAGGGTATGATTTCCAAAGAAATATCAAAGCCTAGAAACTCTAACAAAGAAGAAATACCTGTGGACGAGGCGCTTTTGGCTTTGTGCGAGCCATTTTGCTCATTTTCGAGGCAACGAATGCCATAGTGCTGCGAAAATTTGCTCGATTCTGCTCTACAGTGGCAATAAACGGCCTAGCGAACGGGTCAATTTACGCCATGAGTGCATTTCCAAACACTCAAACGCTTCAAGAAGAGTAATCTACAAAAGATGAGTAGATCACGAACGTTTGGAGGATGCAGACTCATCCAGGGCTGTAGTTCATGAATTTTTTTCTCAGTGACTTTATGAGGTAAAACCGCAAGAACTGTGAATCGGACTGCTCACCGGAAAAGTGGAAAAAGTATCATAGAGAGCAAAATCAATATTTTCTTAGAATCAGAGAGATGTGCTAGATGAAGCTGAATCGCTGCAGTTGTTGTCACATTGTTCCCCCCCCCCCCTCCTCCTCCATTCTAATCTTCTCAAATGAGAATGGTCTTCATGTCTATGGCCAGCCATACTTTCTTTTTAATTATCGATTTTCTAGATAACGATTCATCTAGATTTCGAGATATTGCAAGATGTATACCTTTTCAAAATCAATGAGTGATTCTCGATTTTTCGCACTTTTTTCTGAGGGGAATTACGAAATTTTATGAGGTAGCATTACGCTGTGTGGCCGATACGATATGCCGATTTAGAAAATAACGAAACTTTCATAGTTTTTTTTTTGAATTTTCCCCTGGGATGTTTGGAAACGGCATGACTAGTCTAAGAAACAAGTTGGTGCACCAATAAGTGGTGAATGGATGGCTGATGAGAAGTGCAAGATCGTCAACATTTGACTAAGCGATTGCTTCTTTTCCAGAGATCTGATAAGTGGAGTAGAACTATTACATTTGATCCTGGTGTAGGTAATAGCGGATCCAAACAGGACCGGGTATGCTGGTGTACTTAAGAATGGGGAAATGAATGGCACGGACTAGCGACTTCTTGGAGCAGCGTCCTCATTAGCAAGTGCAGAAAGCATTAGCCAACTCCTGACCTTCAAGAGGAATTTGACTGCGTAATTAACTTAGGAGGTAATCTTTTTGAACTTGTGAGAAAGCTGTTTCTCAGAAAATACCCAAGTAATCAAATAAAGCTAGGAAAAATATTTCAAATCTATTTTGCTAAAATATTAGAAATTGTATGAGACTATGCACTTCTTCAGAAAAGGAGGAGAACAGACGTGAGATGTGCAGCGCTAGTCAATATCGGCGCTTTTCAGTAAAAAGAAATTACTATGCAAATCCTTCAAAATGAACAGCAATTATGTAAATTAACAGCTTCAGTTTCAGCGACGAATACTATTTTGGATAGTTATCCCATGAAAAAAGACTAGGTCCCTCTATAGAAGACAAAATGTTGAGAAAAACAGTGCTATTCATAATTCTACTTCACAGTTTAAAGTACATCGCAATTTGAACAGCCGCATTCTGTTAGTAAAAGGACATTTCAAAAAGAATATTCTCGATAATTTTGAAGTTTATTGATGAATCCTGACTATAAGGTTCCAAGGGACTAAGACTATTATTTCATTATTTACTCAAAAAATTCCAATAAAATCAACAATTCAATAATTTTGCCACGCTATGGCGGTCACCTACACAATGTATCGATCATCGAATTTGTATCAGTAGCGAATTATAAATGAACTCCGAAACCAGTTTGATACTTAGATAATTTGTAAACATTATTCAAAAATAGGTTACGAAATTATCACCGGCGAAACTGAATAAAATTTAACCAGAACGTTAGGTGCTGAGAAGAAGAGACGTTCATAAGTAAACACGATTCGAAGAAGAAGAAAAAAAGCAAATGATTTCACCAAAAACAGCTGAAAATCAACAAAAACCTTACCAATGGCGGTGATTCATTGTTGTTGTTTTGACTCGCAAGCAGCTCTTCTGTAAGAAAATTGTTGAACTCATTCTCATGCAGCAATTCATGCCAAAAACTAGAGAAAGCAAATTTTTCGTAGCACATTGTATTGAAACAGAGAATAATGAGCGTTTTGGATTATGTGGCGGAGTAAACCGGTTGTGGATCCATTTTTTCGCTCCACTAAAAGCCTAGTCTGTTTAAACCATGTTATACGCCCAGCAATAATGCATTTAGAATCGGCAAAGGAGGAAACATCCTGCAGAGCCCCGTTCCAAATGTGAGCAGTGGGAATACGAAAGGAATGCAAACCTTGAATTTATCAATCTGCTACTATATCATTAGGTTGTCAGGAGAATAGTAACAGATCGTCACTACATCAGAGCGAACAAAAAGATATATGGAGAGCATTAGTTAGATTAGAGCCGGCTTTACAAGATGACTACCAGGCATTATTCGTGAGCCATTTAATTTGGAATTAAAATCTGAGAACATTCAATTATTCCGAAAATCGGATGTTAGTCTAGTATTTCTGCGAAGTTCATGCTACTCAAGCGTATAGCAAACATACGTTGACATTCTATTACTTGCTATGATGTTTCATGGTCATATGTCGAGAAAATAAAGAGAACTCCGCCCGAAGCAATTTGTCCAAGAGAAATTTTTCCGGGACAAGGGCGGCAGAAAATTTTTTTTAAGTGGAGAAGCATGTCGTCAGCCACGCCCCCGAAGAAAACTTTTCATAGCAGTTTGAACTTTCAGAAGTACAAAAATATATGATCTTACTCAGCGGTAAGAACAAGTCACTTGCACCCACATTTTTACAGGCTACCTAAAAATTAGGAGACACATTTTTGAGAAAAAGAGGGAGTAGGCCGCTCCTTCCTCCAGTGGATTGTACAAACTTTAAGAAGAAAAGTGTGAGTTTATAATCTTATAGGTTCCTTGGTTCCCCACAAATTCTGACTTCAACACAAACAGCTGGAGATTTCCTCTGAGCACTCTGTGAAAAATTCGATGGGCTTTGGAAAAAGTTTTGATTTTTCTTCATTATAACAAACTTATAGCCGAAACTGATTTCCCATGCATAGCAACGATTGACTACGAAGGAAAATGACTTGTAGGACTTTTTTTAAGTGCTAGCATATTCTGTATCTCCAAAAATTCCCAACGATGCTCATTTGAGCTCTACAAGGTTTTCATTCTTCTAGTAGAAAACTACATTTTGTCTTATTAATCTTCCTTATTAACGGTACAGCAATGGGTGACAACCATAAGCTTTTACTATTCGTTATTCATCACATATCTATTCAGCAGAAGGTTTTTGAGCAAAAGCGAATCTTTCAAAATAAATGGTGAAGCGGCCACATTCTCCTTTTCCATCTTCCATCATGCTTATAAAGGAGAAAATAGCATAGGAATCTACTGTCATATTCTACATTCTTGCAAAGAAATGAAATTACTTCAAATATGTTGTAACCCGAGTAGACCAGCCTAAAAAATCCTCCCACTTACGCCTTTCCACATTCTACGCTCTGCCACAGCAAACCATTATTATAAAAATTGGGTTGGTTCAAAAAATTCAATTACCCTAATTTCACGCGTACACCCGGCGGATTTTTTTCCAAAATCGACCAGCCCAAATACGCCAAAGAACTTCGCAACCAAAGGACCCTCTGCCTTGCTGTATATTGCTTAAGAGAATCGTACGGCATAAGGATCGCTTTCCGAAATAATTTAAAGCGGCTGAGAGGCTTAGTCAAAAAATCGAAAAAGGTGCGCCTTGTATAGTCGATTCGTTGACCGTACGGACTGAACATCACTGCGGAACACGCGCCGCGAGGTAAAACGTTTGCCCCAGTGCAAATTCGCCATTGTACAAGTCGTGCTCTCGCGACAATTCAGCCGCGCCGCGCGTGGTCCGCAGCGTTTGGGCAGTCCGTACGATGAACGAATCGACGATACGTGTGAAATTAGGGTATTTAGCAAGCAGTAGAGAAAACATAATAAGGTTTTCATGGTAATTATGACATCTCTATCGTATTTTCATAAAAGCGAAAGGTAAGCATAAAACAAAAATACACAAAAAAGTCGTCCAAATAAACATGGAGAAAAACTCACTGATAATCCTGATAAATTGCTCCCTGGTAAACTGCTTTTCACTGCTTTCTTCAAGTTTCTTCTGGATTTCCTGGATGTCATTGGCAGATACAAACTCGTTGAGGCTTTTCAAATCTGCCTGAATAATTATTAGAACAAACACAAAGTTCTCCAAACAGAGTTATGGTTGGGACTTTATCATATACATTTGATTTTTAACGAAAAATTGGAGGCGCAACTATTAGGTTGTTTCATGAGTTTTTGTTACACTATACGGAAAATCCTGATAACTCAAAAAAGTTTTTCTTCAGTTCCAAACCATGTGGAATTTTGTGGAGTTTCGAAATGTACAAGTCGCTAATAAAAATCACTAATAAAAGGCGAAAATAATGCAATAAAAGATGTCTCATTTATCTCATTTACAAAGCTCATGTAACAGCCTTATATGTACTTACGCCAAATAAGTTTATTTCTCCGGAACTTGTTAAAAACTTCTATAATGTTTGAAAAAGAATTTGGTTTACAAAAAAAACAATGGAGTTGAAAACTTACAGTTATGATGTAGCCCTTCTCATCTTTATCGCACAGATCAAACAGCTTCTTTGCCTGAATTGTGTATTGAGGGCGTGGGGAACCAAACCAAAAAATTGTGGAGCTCACTTGTTCGCCTACGATGGATTCGTCTGATGAAGAATCCAACACAATTTCCTGGTCATCCATGGACCTGCCCCTAAAACACATAAATTCCACACGGGAAGCAGAAACACATATTGCGAGTGCAGAGAGTGAGATTTGACTATATTTACCCTATGGATATCGCTTTCGGCATGCTTCAGCTGGTGGAGCAGAACGAATACAGAAGCGACCGGGGGGCGAAAAGCAATAGCTCTATCGATAAGCAATTCAACATCGATTCAATGTGAAAGAGCATGCATGACAAAGCTGAGGACGGAAGACGGGATTATGGACGCTTAATTGTAAAAGAATGTCAATGAATAGAAGAGAGATGCTTGGGAAGTCAAAAGTGCAGGTGGCTAAAAACAAAAAATACATGAGGTGAAAGTGGAAAAACGTCATGGTTCTGGTAGGAAGGGAGGGGGCGAGGAAGAAAAGGAAAAGTGGGGACGCAAAAATTCAAGTTCACTAGTAATTCAGGTTGTGACGTGGGAGGGGGGGAATATTCATAAATTTCTTGCAAGTTCCTCAATTTCAGATTACGGAAAACTGAAGCTTTTGTCAAATGGAAAAAAATACGGTTAATTATTGAAAATTTCCCGCGACTACTTTTGGCAATTTCCAGCTTGCTTGTAAACAGTTAAACTTCCCTGTTCGTAACTAATTGTAAGTCTACTAATTTCAAACAGGATCTGGGTAAAATCAGTTTCTGATACTCTAATTCTCAATGTTCAGCTGGTCCACAATCTTTAGAAGGTGATACTGCCACCGACGCTGTTGGATCACTTGCAAGGTACTTTTGTCTACGAAGAAAAAAAACGGAAATAATTGAGGTTGATAACGCTTTTTAGGTCCGGAATGCTGAAAAAAAACACTATTATGACCCTCCAGAATTTCACTCCCTGCATTTCCGAAAGTCATCAAGCTACGTAACAATATGGGCGACCAAGTTTTTCCGTCGTCTGTGTCTCGGGAAAAGTTGTCTATCCAACACATCATTTTTATTTTTACAATAGATTAAAATCAGGCCATTTGAACGATTTAAACGTTGCTAACGCTTAGGATTATGCTCTCAAGCAAAGTTAAGAGTTTGCAGATCTCCTAGAGTGACCAAATCTATGTCTGTATCCCACAAATAACGTATATTTTGCAAAAATTCCATAAATATGTTGATTGTCACAAATGTTCTAGGATATTGATCTAGAGGCTAACAACAACAACAAAATTATCTTGAGCTATTGGGCCACATCAATTTTCTCTCTAAACACCATTTTGAACAGGTCACGCGATACGGTGTGTGGGAGGAATTTATGGCTGCGAGTTCACACAATATTGATGTAGCATACATTTACATTCATTGACGCTTAAATGGTGACAATTGACGTCAATGTTGAAGATCACATATGAGATACTGATGAAGAAAAGCTTGAAAATAGCTGATGACGAGGCAGGTGGAATTTGCTAGAACTTCGAGGTTAAGATTGTTATGGCTTTGCTGTGCGATATAAAAAAATAGAATCAAGAGCTGTTTGAGATAGTACGGTATCTGAAATAACCTGATACCACATAATCACCTTTGAAGCAGAGATAACGGTAGATATGGTAGATAGGTGGATATAATACATCCAACAAAGCTATAGATTCTCATGGTAAGAAGTATCGTGAACTAACTTTCTGCTGCTGATACTCATATTGTTTGCGGTTGTCAGAGTATGGTTACTGTAGCCATACTTAACCGCCTTGAGCAAAAGTTAGAAAAAAATCAAAGAACTTATTAAAAGGAATTCCAATAATTTCAAAATCACCGGATTGCTTGAGGAAACTCATGTGGGCCACTCGATATTCGTGAGAGATATCGAGTTCATTTAGATGAATTTGTAAATAAAGTTGCGAAAAGACAGTTCTCACAATGCTTGCTTTCCCGAAGTTTTCGACTGAGCAAAAATCAAAGATCGTTTGAAAAAAAATTTTTTTGAGAGTCTTGGGTAAATTCCACTTTTGAATTCGGTTACATCTTTATTCAAAAAATCAAATTTTGGAACTGCCACTTACAACTGACAGACTTTTACTACATGATAAATGAGCACGGCTTACAAGTATAAAAAACTTTGAACCACGAACTTTTGTGCGCACAAAAACCATTACTAAATGGTGCCAAAATTTCAAAAATGGCTTTTTCGAAAGCAAATGAGTAAATGTGATCGTTAGTTGAAGCAGCTGAGATAAGTACAATCAACTGAAGTGAGTGCCACATCGGACAAGTTTCATAGAAGGATTCACAAAGCGGGAGCAGAGAAATAAAGATACAGCACAAATCGAAGAAATGATATCTAGCATATAGCGCTTGCTCTTTCTCTAAATAAATTCTATATTCAAGCAATAGCTCGGAATAGGACGCGTTCGTAGAAGCGAGTTCGGCTGTGATATGTCGAAATATTCAAAGAGCTGCACTTTGTTGTTTGCTGCTCAAAAGCATTATCTGTCAGTGTTCGCTTTGGCAGCGGATCAAAGAGAAATTTGGCATTGAAGCAAAAATAGAATTTTGTGCAGATTGATACACTGACTGAACGAGGAAGAGCATTGATCGAGATTTTCACTCATACTGACTTGACAATGGTCAAGACTCACAGAGCATGAATTTTGACAACCTGAGAAATAGTTGAAAAATTCGAAATATGCAAAAGAGAGACAAGCATAAGAAAAATTGCAAAATATTCTTTACAGAGTGGGTGGCATAAAGGCCAGATTTGGATGAAGCCGATCAATCGAAGCTGGGCATATAGAGAGCTGTTTGCGTTGACAGACAATACTAACCGGCATCGATTCCACGTTTCAAACGGAAACATATGGGGAACACCGTACCCCCCCCCCCCCTCCCTTCCACGATTCAAAAAAGCAATTACGAACATATGCAATGTTGCTGCTTTAGAGAGTAACGCATGAAAGCTGGGTCATTGAGGTCTTTTTTATGTTTGCATATTTGAGATCGGCAACAACTTTTCTTAAAGTAAACTTTTCTTTGTAAGATAAAATTAATTGTGATCAGTGGTTCTCTGCATCTCTGAGGCTCAAAGAAGCTTTACGTGTTACTACATAGTTAGGGGTCTCCGTTCTTTGAAGAGGCTTCAACAACCTGAGAAGATGATTGGTAGGGAAGAGACATGGATAGTTCGAGGAATGGAAAGAACTCGGAGCAAAGTGATTTACTCGTTTCTAATCTTTTTATGTCACAATTACACGACATCTGGCAATCTTGTGATTCTCTTCAATAACTTGCGATCTATGGCTTGTTCTTCAATTTTATGCTGTTTCAGATCTCTTTGATCTCGTCGAACCATCTTAGGTTTGGCCTTCTTCTTACAAGGAAAGGATACTTGGTGACACCGGCCATGTGGAATGCGATGTATACCATAAGGTGCACCTCGAAACGATGATTCTAAGTCTGTGCTCGAAATTTGCGAAACGATCATTTAAGCGCAGTCATGAACTTTTTTTCGTAAAAAAAATTGCGTACTTTTAGGTAGCTACCTTGAAAGGTGTAACGTTGTATTTATACCTATCTGAAACATTTTCAGCATTTGAATAGCAAAGAAAAATGTGATTTTCACCCTCCGCTGTGGTGCAAATCATTTTTGGAAAAATAATCATACTCCATCCACGTTCTCGTTTCGCAGATATGGAAAACAGTATTCGAATCAGCATTAGAAGGCGCAATTTTTGATATACAAACCATCATGAATGGCCGGGGTAACCAAGCATCGTTCCCTGTTTAGTCTCTTCCCGGCTATCACTGACGTGGCCGATATGGTGTACGTCCTTCTTTCTTTCACAAAGAGCCATAACATTCGAAGTTCCTTTTACATGTTCATGTTATCTGAGCGACCTTCATTGTGGCTAATTTTTATCACAGATGACGAGTCCAATCATGGTAATGCCTACCGTCCATCGAAGCATCTTGTTTGAATCGCGCAGCTTTACGTTCTCAGCTGCGCATGCACGGCCAGCATTCGCTGCCATATATAACAGTGTGCGACCAATGTGCGGTAACCTGCGACGATTTGCAGTAGCATCCGTCAGATGATCTCTGCAAGGCTCACCTGAATCATGCTGCGCTTATTCCGATCGGTCTTCTTGTAACAAATCATTTGCGGGAATAACTTCTCAGTATTTGGAGGACGCGTTCATTTTGATCAGTTGTGGCCGTGTTGCTCGACGCTTATCCACATTACGCCCACCTTCAACTTCTTTCTGCCATCAGGACCACATAATCTGCATACGGGAGGTGGTTGGCGGTGATGTTTCTGTCCACCTCATCGACAAACGAGATGAAGAGGAGATTTCAGAGCGCGGATCTTTGATGTACGTTAATGTTTACTTTGAAGTCTTGTGATTGTCTTGCTGTGTACATAACTGGTGGACCATGTATATAATTCTAATCACTAGACATAGTCTTCTGGTACCATGTGCTTCCGCAATGCCCACCATGTTGTGTTATGGTACCATGTCGAAGGATTTTTCTAGGTCTCTAAATGTAGCATGCCGTTGCTTTTCCGTGCCGCCTTCCATTGCTATCATGGCGTTTGAAGGGCATCTGTTTATTGCATCTATTGACGAGTCCACATCGCCACTACACAATCCGTAGACGTATCTCAATATTCTTTTGAAGATCTTTAGCGTGTGGTTCTCAGACGGATGGGCCGGTACGTAACGCCAGCTGTGCCGTCGTCCCCTTCCATATTCGTATCGTCGTGTTTCTGTCCCATTCGCTTAATATGACCTTGAATTCTACCATCTTGTACAGAACTTTTGTCAACTTTTGTTTCCATACTTCTTTCAAAACTCTTTGAAGGTGTCATCTAGGCCTGCCTCCTTGCCGATCTTTGTCCTCATTGTGACCATGCAGACTTCCTGCTTGCTGATGTTCGTACTGGTTGTTAAACTGGCTCACTGCTCCTGTAAATACACATTCGTAGCCCTCGGATTCTACTTCTGCGAGTTCTGCTCTCCAGCTCTCACTCAGCTCTTGTGGCTCTCCTCGGTATTCTACAGCGTACGTCTTTTATGGTGCCAAAGTGCTCTGTTCTTTGTAGCTTCCGTTCTTCTTCTGGCAATCTAGTTGCCTGTACAGCTCCGCCGTAGTTCTTCCCCCGCTTCTGTAATGCTCCCTTTTGCTTTAGGTTTCGCGAATAATA